TAATACGGATAGGGTAAAATTATTACTCTCATCAGTGAATAAAATGTGAACACTAAATGGGCTATAAGCAACTTCAGTAGAAAATATGGCTCAATATTTCACTTCCTTAAAGCTGGTTATATATAATAAAAGGGCTGCATAAACAGTCGATGTGGGAGTCCCATGTTAATGATATTACTGAGATATTCCACATGTCAGGCGCATCTGCACCTTGTGAGCTATGTAAATCATTGGCGGCGCGCACCGGGCGGCCCATACGATCGTGCTTTTTTGCAGTATTTCATGGTGTTATAAGATCGCTTGGAATCACAGTAACTAAAATTTATAGCACACTAGTCCTCGAACCTCAGGAAATTAATTGGGCAGCTACATGGTACTTTGAGGGAATGTCAAAATTTCAGCTTTCTGTCGTTTCTGGTTCTCGAGTTAGCAATTTTCTCGCCAATGATTTCTGCTGGGTCGTATGTGCGAACGTACCTCGAGGCTGGGTTTAAAAAATTTGGGTTGTACGTGAGCTGGAATCATCCCACTAAAATTTTGGACTTCCAGCTTTTCCTGGTTTCTGAGTTACCAATTTTCCCGCCGAAAAGAATTTTAAATCTTTGAATTTTGTGTAGACGAGGGACATAACCGCAAAATTTCAGCTTTCTAGCTTTTCTAGTTCCCTAGTTAGCGATTTCCCGCGAAGGCTTTTACGCGCCCGTGCATGAGCTTGAGGTTTGTTATCGCGGTCCTAGGGTAGCACTTGACCGGGGAATCCACAGGCAAAACTTTGGCGTCAGAGGTTGCCGAGTTGAAATATGCGGATAGACGAATACACACATCGGAGTCGTCACAACATGCGATTTTACACTTGCATATATGCAAAAACGCATAGTTAAATCGAATTTATGTTTGTTTTATGCGTGTTACTTCTTTTGAGATTGTCCAAGTGGTCATTTATTTCCTCATGCATACTTCTTACTACTACATGACTTTCACTGGTTGTCAGCGGGGGGAACAACATTTCATGCACAGTGGACAAGGTGAATTATTGAGTGGTATTCATGCAGCATTTGAAGAACACAAAGAAGGCAGTTGTAGGAAATCATGTGGATGAGGGATTCCCTAAACTAAAAAGAAACGGGGAAACTGGCAGTTCCATTACTGACGCGATGGCAAGCGATGATGGGTCAGCAGCCGATTAGAGTAGCTAAACGTAGAGTTCTTCCGTATGAACGTTTTTTGCCGGAAGTAGAAGTTTTTTTTCTTTCAGACAGCATAAGGACTTGCTGAAACATTACAAAGCGAAACACTTCATATGCGAAGATGGCGACTGCTTGAAACTGGGCATTGCGTTCCGAACAGACACAGAACTGAAGTTACATAAGGTCAGTAAAATACACGGCTCCACTAGCTGTAAATACTTAAAGAAACATACTATGACTGGGAATGTTGCATTTTGTGGAGGAATGTTGTAGAGTGCGCAACATGCAGCTGGTCCACAGACGCTCAATCTGGATTTTCACTTTTCGGATCGGAGTGCACCAGGGCAAAACCGTGAAAATAGGTCTTCCGCACGAGTCCCTCTGCAGCGAAACATTCCAAGGATAAGTGTTGTTCGGCCGGTGGAACAGCCAAATGTAAATAGGTGACTTTTTTACTTCATGTACTGCCAAGTTTATGGGAAATTCGGTGGGAATATTTGCGTCATTTTGAAGGTTTAATCCCACTTTTTGTGCGTTTTTACTGTGCAGTGCTGTAGCGCTGCTACAACAAGCAAAAGCACATATTGTCAGGAAGTCGCCTGTGTGTGTGTGTGTGTGTGTGTGTTCAGAAGCGAGTGAACTTTGTCACCCACTTTCATTTCAGCAACCAGGAAAGCTGGGAGGCTGAAATTTTGGGTTTGTGTTCCTACCTGTGTTTCATCCTCCCGTTTTAAAATTTTCGTACATATGCGCCTAGACCTCGCGTACGGACCCCCAAAAAATTATGCAAACTTCTTTAGCGTGGAATTGTTTCGCGAATTAGGCAAGGTATATTCTCTATTCATGTGCGAGCTAAAGATTTCAAATTCAGCTGTCGCACACTCTTGTGCAGCGCGTACAATCGCGTCAAAGTTTGCACTTGGCACTGTGTTAACTCAAATACTAGCCAGAAAACAGTGGCTAAAATCTGGTCAGCATATTTGTCGCTCTTTTGGTAAACCGTACACCTAAATTGAGTTTCGATTTGCATTTGAGCCACGACTTAGGGGGCTTCAAACATATTTGTAGCGAAGTGGCTATTTCGTTTGCCGGATAAGAAGCGGAGCTGAAAATTCAGTGGAATATTCTATTTTCAAGTGCCGTTTTAATTTTTCCTGGAAGTGAAATTCCCTGCAAGTGGGTATGAGAAAC